GGTGCGCTTTAAGGTGTTAGTTACCACCTTTAAAGCGCTTCATGGCATAGGACCCGGTTATCTCCGAGACCACCTTCTGCCGCAGATCCCCTCCCTCAGACCGGTACGCTCCCACAGAGTGGGCCTCCTCAGGGTGCCGTCGGCCAAGCAATGTCGGCTGGCGACCCCCAGGGGGAGGGCCTTCTCTGTGGGTGCCCCTGCCCTCTGGAACGAACTACCCCCCGAGATCCGGATGATTCCGGATCTCCTTGCTTTCCGTCGCGCCCTCAAGACATGGCTCTTCCAGCAAGCGGACCTGACCTAGGAAGGATTTTATATGGGGTTTATTTTTTAGCAATTTGACAGAGACACAACTTTAAAATTTGATTTAATTCGGTTTTATTGGGGGGGGAATGTATTTATGTTTTGTTTTAAATATGTTGTGCGCCGCCCTGAGTCCCGTCGGGAGAAGGGCGGCATATAAATTAAATTAAATAAATAAAATAAATAAATAAATAGCAACCATTCAAAATTATAAGAGCACTGAAAAAGTGCCTTGCATTTGGTCCTCAAAATTACAAGCACTGCAGCATCCCTGTTTCATTTGATCAGATTCAGGTGCTTGGCAACCGGCGTGTATTTATGAGACTTGCAGCATCCTGTGGTCATGTGATCTCCATTTGTGACCGTCCCTGCCAGCTTTTGACAAGCAAAGTCAATAGGAGAAGCCAGATGTCACAGTTCCGACAGACAGAGACAAATAAAGCAGAACTCCAAGGCTTGCAAATTCCTCAAAGAACATGTTTATTAATTACAAAGTATTGGCACGGTCAAAAGTGAAACCAAGCCTGAATTCCCCATAACAATCCCTTAGTTACAAAGTATAAAGTTCCCAAAACTATGTAATTGACTATGTTTCCCAATAAATGCATTTGGCGGGCTTTCATATACAAGGGCCAGTCCCCAATTGTGGGAGCAACAGATGACCTTTGTTCCCACGGGGCAGCTGATTGTTTTGACTAGCAAAGTACATGGGCAAGCCCCCTCCCTCCGTTCCATGTGACAACTTCAAATGAGGGGAAAGATGGTTAGAATAGAATAGAGCTGGAAGGGACCTTGGAGATCTTCTAGTCCATCCCCCTGCTCAAGCAGGAGAACCTATACCGTCTCAGACAGGTGAATGTCCAGTCTCTTCTTGAAAATCTCCAGTGATGGAGCACCCACGATTTCTGGAGGCATGCTGTTCCACTGGTTGATTGTCCTCACGGTCAGGAAGTTTCTCCTTAATTCCAGGTTGCTTCTCTCTTTGATCAGTTTCCAACCATTGTTTCTCGTCCTTCCCTCTGGTGCTCTGGTGAACAACCTGGCCCCCTCTGCCTTGTGGCAGCCCCTCAAATACTGGAACACGGCTATCATGTCTCCCCTACTTCTTCTTTTCTTTAGACTAGCCAAACCCAAGTCCCGCAGCTGTTCTTCGTATGTTTTAGTCTCCAGGCCTTGGATCATCTTAGTTGTTCTCTAAATTTTTTCCAAACTCTCTCAACATTTTTTTGGTGACATGGTGACCAAAACTGGCTGCAGTGTTCCAGGTGTGGCCTTACTAGGGTTTTATAAAGCAGTAATGATACTGCTGCAGCCTGGCTCATTTGCAGAGTTGACCCCGGATTTGCTTAACATCCACTGATTCAGTTAATAGCCATGGCAAAAAAGATCATAAAATCGGGCATTACTCACTTACCAACCACCTTGCTTAGCAATACAGATTGTGGCCCCAATTGTGATTGTAAGTTGAGGACTAGTTGTAAACAAATTTTTAGTCCATCGATCAATCTTCTCAGAGGAAAAACGATTCAAAGGTTTTGAAAGCTCCATCTTAGTGAAGTCACTATTAGAGGACAGGAGAGGTTCTCCTATCACAGGTCTCCAGATTCTGTACTCTAACCCAGGGGTCCCCAATCCCCGGGCTGTGGACCAGTACCGGGCCACAGCACGCCAGCAACCGGTCCGCACAAACACGCAAAGCCCCGTCCGCGGGATGCAGGCAGCACACAAAACCACGCACCCTCCGGTCCACGGAAAAAACTCTCTCCACAGAACCGGTCCCTGGTGCCCAAAAGGTTGGGGACCTCTACTCTAACCCTTAATTCTTAGCATTAAAATTCACTCAAGAAGATCTGGGTGAATCTTGTTTCCTTAACTGCACTCTGCATTTAATAGGCTTGGCAAGGATTCCAAATGGCCAAGTTCACCCCACACTATTATCCTGGTCAATTAATTAATCCACCTTCTGTGTTCACTGCATCTTAAATTAATCAAGCGGGCTGAGTTTGTACATCACACTGCACCATATTGACTATCAGCCAAACTTCACACTTTGCACATAGTCAGCCGCTATATCTTGATGTGGTTAAGTCAGCCAGTCGTACGAACCCAAACAAATGTCAAACATTGTTTGGAATTGGAATATTGCATCCATTTCTCCTGACAGAAGCTGGCCATTGAACCCGGAATCCTCTTTATAAAAAGAAAAGATGGCTTTTGCGTGAGAACACACGTGTGCCTAGCACACACATACACTCCCTCCAAACTCAGAGGGAAAGTGAGAGCGAAGGATATGGAAGCCCTGCATATATATATATTTTTCTGCTCTGCTTGTCAGCTGAGAAATTCCCTTTGTATGGGAAACTACCAGCTCAGCAGCTGGAGAGAAAGGAGGCCATTAATCCAACCTGGTCCTTGAAAGCTGTTTCCTTCCCACCCAAGCAGCCTTTGGAGGCCGCTAACACAATAGCAGAGTTTCATCTACCCGCCTTGAATGAAATACAAGGCAAGGATTACAGGCAGCTGGCTGTTCTCTGGAGGCCCTACCCCAAGTCTCAGGTGCCATCTGGGCCAGATGGGCAGGTCACAAAAATCAACATGGCAGCCAAGACTGTGTGATCAAAGAGTTAGAAATTCTGTTTATGTATAGCAGTGGTAGCAGAGGATTATTATAGCCATACAGATTATAATAATAATAATAATGATAAAGTTGGAAGGGACCTTGGAGGTCATCTAGTCCAACCCCCTGCTCAGGCAGGAAACCCTATACCATTTTGGACAAATGGCTGTCCAGTTTCTTCTTAAAAACTTCCAGTGTTGGAGCATTCACCGCTTCTGGAGGCAGGTTGTTCCACTGGTTAATTGTTTTAGCTGTCAGGAAGTTTCTCCTTAGTTCTAGGTTGCTTCTCTCCTTGATTAGTTTCCATCCGTTGCTTCTCGTCCTGCCTTCAGGCGCTTTGGAGAATAGCTTCACTCCCTCTTCTTTGTGGCAACCCCTGAGATATTGGAACATTGCTGTCATGTCCCCCCTCGTCCTTCCCTTCATTAAACTAGACATACCCAATTCCAGCAACCGTTCCTTATATGTTTTAGCCTCCGGTCCCCTGGTCATCTTTGTTGCTCTTCTCTGCACTCTTTCTAGAGTCTCAACATCTTTTTTACATTGTGGTGACCAAAGATTGGTAGCAGAGGATGGTTACACAGCCACGCAGATCAAATAAAATGTACAGTGTACAGTCACCATGGGCCTTGCTGCTTAACGGTTTTAACTGTCACAGGAAGCTCTCCTCAGAACAAATAGAACCATAGATTATAACCGCAGACTAAACATTGCTATCTACTGGTGGATTAATTCAGTAGTTGTTGCAATAGAAAATGCATTCTAACAATGAATTCCAACACAAAGCCCTGCCTCTTTTGTGCATGTATTAGGCATGGACCACACATAGAAAGAGGCAGGAATTCATTTGCTGCAGGGTGGCAGATGCCATGGAGATTTATTTTTTTTATCAAAACACACACATACGGATGTGCCACCTCTGTGACCATGTCTTTATTCTTTTGTTATCCAGAGTGGGCTTTCTGAGTGGATCTTAGAGTACAGTGATCTTCTAGGCCAGAGGTGTCCAACCTTGGCAACTTTAAGACTTGTGCACTTCAACCAGCATTGGCAGCCAGCCAGCATTGGCAACTTTAAGACTTGTGGACTTCAACTCCCAGAATTCCTCAGCCAGCATGGCAGACTGGAGAATTCTGGGAGTTGACGTTCTCGTCTTAAAGTTTCCAATTTTGGACACTCCTAGGGCAGCCATCCCCAACCTGATGCCCTCTCAATATGTTGTTATTATGTGCCATCAAGTTGGTTTTGATTCTTAGCAATCACACGTTTCCTGGGAAACCAGTGAACTAACTGGAAAATCTAGAACAGGGGTCTTCAAACTTGGCAATTTTAAGACTAGTGGACTTCAACTCTCGTGGCTGGCTGAGGAATTCTGGGAGTTGAAGTCCACAAGTCTTAAAGTTGCCAAGTTTGAAGACCCTTGATCTAGAAAGTCATTTACAGGCAGTCCTCATTTGTAAATAAGTTAAACCCTATTCTCCCTATGGTCAGGGCAAATTGGCAGAAAGATTATTCCTGAGTTGGACGTTGTCAAGAAGAGCAGGTGGCCTAAGCCCTGTCTGATGATCTTGATGGAAAAATCTGCTGTAACATGGTTGGCTTGGAAGAAATGGGAAATGATGACCGGAGACAGTCCCACAAATCAAGCCCGAAATACAAATGGAGGGACTACAGTGGAGGAAAAACAATCTGTCCTAAGATTTTGTGTTTGTGTGTGGATGTGCCTTCAAGTCAGGGTTGAGCTTGGTGACTGCCTGGAGTAGTTCTTGCAGTTTTCCTGGCCCTGGTTACAGACATAGTCTGCCATTGCCTCCTTCCTAGGGGTGGGAGAGAGGGACTGGCTCAGTCCCCTTCCCAAGGCAGGACTAGAAATTGGAGTCACCAAATTTCTAGCTTGGGGCTTTAACCAGTACACCAAACTGGCTCTTTTCATAAGATATTCAGGTAATCCTTGACTTAAAAGCACAATTGGGACCAGAATTTTCATTGCTAAGCAAGGGGATTGTTAAGTGAGGCATTGCTGACTTTACGACCTTTTATGCCAGGGCTTTTCAACCTTTTCACCCATTGTACCATTGTACCTGGGATGTTTTTTCCTCCCTTCAGACACAGAAGGCTGCGACCACACGTGGCGTAAGTTCCAGGGTCACTGCTATTGCTACTTTGCGCATCGGCGCTCGTGGGAAGAAGCGGAGAGGGACTGCCGACGTCGGTCAGGACATCTCACCAGCATTCACTCCTGGGAAGAACATAATTTCATTAGCAGTAAGTGGGAACTCTGAAAGAGGGAGAGAAGAAGGGAGCCACAGCAAGGTACCCCCAGAAATTGTGGGCACTCCATCACCGGAGATTTTCAAGAAGAGACTAGACATTCACCTGTCTGAGATGGTATAGGTCAGACATGTCAAACACAAGGCCCGGGGGCCGGATGCGGCCCACAAAGTGGTTTCATGTGGCCCGCGAAGCCATCCTGGAAATAGTGAGGGAACGGCCCCCGCTGCCCTAGTCCTGTCCCAGGCCGGCCAGGAGCCAATGTACAATTTTGTGGTGGCCATCTTGGCACTTGCCCTGGTGGACCATGCCTTGGCACTTGCCCCGGTCCCACCCCCTTCTGCCAGAGACCCTCAGATCTGTCCCACTCCTGCCCAGGCCCCGATAGGCACCCTTGATGCGAATGATGTAGAACTGGTCACGGCCACCCAGTAGGCCACACCCACTCCATCCACGCCCACCCAGTAGGCTGCACCCACTCTGGCCAAACCCACCTGGCCCCCCCAGGGCAACCGCAGTGCTGATGCGGCCCTCAGTGAAATTGAGTTTGACACCCCTGGTACAGGTTCTCCTGCTTGAGCAGGGGGCTGGACTAGAAGACCTCCAAGGTCCCTTCCAGCTCTACTCTACTCTACTCTACTCTACTCTACTCTACTCTGCTCTACTCTACTCTACTCTATTCTATTCTATTCTTAAGAGAGAAAAGCCATGGGACAGTGCAAGTTCACTGGTTCACACATCACAGAATGTGGTCATTGCATCATCTATTTCTGGGGAGTTTTGCCACATGTCAGGGTGGTTGATCAAGTGCCCAGGCAACTTGTTCGTTTGGATCCAGAAACAATTAACACTCCAGTGAATGAAAGGATATTAAGCTTTATTATTAGCTTAAGCAAACAAATTTAAAAAGTGTAACACAAAAAGCATGCATACTCAGCAAGATGATACCCAAAGCTCTTACAAGCTGCCAGGAAGGAGGGCCTTAGTAATGACAGCAGAGATAACCCATGGGTGGCCAGTGTCCACAGTAGCTAATGCTAGTGGGTTCTGTGCAGAAGCTCCAGCGAACAGCAACCACCCCAATGTGGTTGTGCAGATTGTTCACACACGCACACACAAACACATGCACACCATCCCACAAGGCCTTTTTCTTTACAAAACCCCACCCAATCCATCACACCCCATTTGGAATATTGGAGCCTCCTATAGACAGCTGCCGATCCATAAAACAAATCAATAATCCAGGAAGAACTCAAGTCCCCGAGAAATGCATTGTTCCTACTCCAAGCTCTTCTCCCCTTCAGGTTTTGGCCACGAGAACACTTGGATCGGCCTCAACGATCGCATCGTGGAACAGGATTTCCAGTGGACGGACAACACCGGATTGGTGAGTCTGCGGAAGAGGAGATTCAGTCCGGGTTGAGGCAACTTTTTGGCATGCAGGTCCCTGGGTTGAGTCTTACCAATTGAAGCAGCCAGGAGTGAAGTTGGGAAATTCTCCCAATTCTCCCAGATAGGAGATGATCATCCTATGCCCCAGGGCAGTACCAAATGCATCATGTGTTTAGAATCTCTATGCCCCTGCAAGAGACCTAAATTCAGTTCCCCTTAAGTCCGTTGACTTTGATAGGGGTGACATGGTAACAGCGTTCCAATATCTCAGGGGTTCCCACAGAGAAGAGGGAGTCAGGCTATTTTCCAAAGCACCAGAAGGCGAGACAAGAAGCAACGGATGGGATCTAATCAAGGAGAGAAACAACCTGGAATTAAGGAGAAACTTCCTGACAGTTAGAACAATTAATCAGTGGAACAGCCTGCCTCCATAAGTTGTGGATGCTCCAACACTGGAGGTTTTCAAGGAGAGACAGGACAGCCACTTGCCTGGAATGGTATAGGATCTCCTGCTTGAGCAGTAGGTTGGACTACTACTAGAAGACCTCCAGGGTCCCTCCCAACTCTGTTATTCTGCAATGACTCTTATGTGGTGCCAATTCGCCTTGACCGTTAGTAATTCAGATTCTTGTGAATAGATAGCATGAAATAAACTCGTAATACCTTTGAGCCTTATCCTGAAGGGTTCCTTCGGATCCTATTTCAAAGGGGAGTGGGGGGGGGCTGTTGTTTTTACTCTTTGTATATTGGGTTTTTATTGTTTGTAGGCAGCCTAGAGTCACTGAAGGTGAGTGAGCTGCCATATACATTTGGTAAATAAATTAATAAATTTCTTGCGCCTGACCTCTGTTGCAGTGATGGCGAACCTTTTAGAGACCGAGTGTCCAAATTGCAACCCAAAACCCACTTATGCAACATCGGGTGCCGGGTGGGTGTGGCCCGTTGGCTGGGTGTGGCCAATTGGGGGGTGGGTGTGGCCCATTGGGTGGGCGTGGCTGCGGTGGTAACGGCAGACTGGGTGGGACTAAAAAGTTCAATCAATCAATTCCAACTTTGCAAGATCTTCTTTTTCCTGCGAGAAGTTGAAATTGACTGATTGAACTTTTTTTTTTTTTTGCACACGGCGGCGGAGGCCTAAAGCGAAAAGGTTTTATAAAACCCAGCTGAAGGCCTAGGACTGGGGCGACGGCACGCGTGCCCACAGAGAGGGCTCTGAGTGCCGCCTCTGGCACCCGTGCCATAGGTTCGCCACCACTGGACCACGCCAAGCTAGATACGAGAACCAAGGGCTTAAACCCAGCCTGACCTGGAGATGAAGTCCCTCCCTTGCAGACAATCTTATTTATTTATTATTTAAATTTATATAAATATAAATATAAATATATAAATTTATATATCCCAGATTTGAGCTTTAAAAGGACCAGGTTATGGAGAAAGCTCTTCTCTTTCTGAATCAATAGCAAGCTGCAATCGATGGACAGAATACTGGAACGCATAGCAAAAATTGATATTCCGCTTTCAACCTCTGTGGGTAGCTCACAGTAATCAAAGATATTACAATAAAATCAATAAAAATAAAAGATGGGAACTGCAATGAAGCCAGGTGCAGTGAAATGGTACACAACGGTACAATCAAAGGCCTGCACCTGTTTTTATGTGAGTGGCATGTTTTATGTGCAACGTCCATTAAAAAAAACAAAAACAGGCAGAGCTTCAATCCTACTGTTGTGGCTGCCATCTTGACTTTTTGGCTGACACCCTGTAGAAACCACAACGTGGTGGAAATGACACAAGACATTTTCCCACTAGACTAGTGGTGTCCGGGAGGTACACAACCCAAGCAACAAATTATAAAAGCAGCATTGTGTGATGCAATGCATGCTCCATCCCTTTTGAGCATGCATGATCTAGAACAGGAATGTCCAACCTTGGCAACTTTAAGACACGCTGGCTGGGGGATTCTGGGAGTTGAAGTCCACAAGTCTTAAAGTTGTCAAGATTGGACACTCCTGATCCAGAAGAAGAATTAAAAGGAAGGGGCAGTGAAGGTGCAATCTGGGGAAGTATTTTTAACTTCCGTGCCATTCTCTGTTGTTTGCTAGCAATACGAGAATTGGCGTGAAAACCAGCCAGATAATTTCTTTGCCGGCGGCGAGGATTGCGTGGTGTTGGTGTCCCATGAGACTGGCAAATGGAACGATGTCCCATGCAACTACAAACTCCCGTATGTCTGCAAAAAAGATACAGGTAATAAAGGCGTGCATTTTTATTTATTTTTTTACTTCTTTCTTTGAGTGGACCTTGGGAGAAACCCCACTGGCTGTTTTTCACAGGATTATCAGCCCATTTCTCTTACCCTCCTTATACAGGTGGTCCTCAATTTGCGACCGGTTCCCTCTCCCTGTGGTCACATGACTTCATTTTGGATGCTTCGTAACCAAGCCGCATTTACAGCTGTTTGCAGCGTCCCACAGTCATGTGACTGCAATTTACAATGCTTTTGCCCCCAAAGTAGCATTTACTTCTGGTTTCCAGCAAAAATAGCCCCTAGTGAACAATGGGTTCACTTAATGACTGTGGTGTTCGTTTAACAACTGCCACTAAAAAGGTTATAAAAACAGGCCCTGTCATGTGGTGACCCACTTTATGATGTCTCAACGTATGAACTTAATAGGCAAACTCCATTCCTGTCATAAGCTGACGTAATTGCAGTTCAGTTGAGTTAACCTGCATCAAGAAGAGTCAAGGGGGAGCACACTTGAGTTTCTTTCTCAAAGCTTCCTGTTTTCCTGGGGTAGGTTCCTACTTTCACATGTTATCATCTCTTTTCTTCAAATCCATCCTCATGTTCTTTGACACTTTTCTACACTCCAGACAATTATTGAGCAAAAGAGAAGCCTGGATCCAAATACTGGGTGCCTTCAAGTTATAGAGCAGGGGTGTCAAACTCAATTTCACAGAGGGCCGCATCAGCATTGCGGTTGCCCTCAGGGGGCAGGGTAGGTGCGGCCTACTGGTTGGGTGTGAATGGAGTGGGTGTGGCCTACTGGGTGGGCATGGCCAGCTCTACATCGTTCGTGTCAAGGGTGCCTGTGGGGGCCTGGGCAGGAGTGGGATAGATCTGAGGGTCTCTGGCCGAAGGGGGTGGGACCAGGGCAAGTGCCAAAGCATGGTCCACTGGAGGAGCCTCACTGTTCCTCTCAGGCCATGCAGGAGGGGGGGCTTGTGGAGCTAAGACTGAATGCATTTCAGCATAGATGGCCACCACAAAATTGTATATTGGCTCCTGGCTGGCCTGGGCCAGGGCCAAGGCAGCGGGGGCCGTTCCCTCACTGTTTCCAGGATGGCTTCATGGGCCAAATGAAACCACTTCGCGGGCCACATCTGGGCCCCGGGCCTTGTGTTTGACATGTCTGTTATAGAGCCTGCCCATCGTGGTTATAACTCACGATGGTCGTAAATTAAGTCACCCCCTATGACCATCACAATTAAACAACCTTTTTTACAGCAGTTGTTAAATCGTTAAGTAAACACTATAGTCATTTTAAGTGATCTGATGGTTCACTGTGGATACGGTTTTGCAAAAAAATGGAAGTCAGTGTTGGTTTTCAGCAAAATGCCATGCAACGTGGACATGTGATCCTAGGATGCTGCAAACAGTTGTCAATGCAGCCCAATTGCCGAGCGACCATGCAGGGAACGGTAACTGTTGGAATTTCGAATCCAGATCCTAAGTACTCCTAGGGAGGTCCTTTGTAACTTCAAATTTATAGGCTGTAAGTCGAGAACTATCTGTAAAGATAGTCCCCGTCTTACAACAGTTCATTTGTTACAATGTTCAAAGTTACAATGGCACTGAAACAAGTGACTTACGACCGTTTTTCACACTTACAACCTTTGTAGCATCCCCATGGTCACCTGATCAAGATTCAGATGCTCGGCATATTTAGGACGGTTGCCGTGTCCCGGGATCACGTGATCCCCTTTTGCGACTTTCTGACAAGCAATATCAATGGGGGAAGCCAGATTCACTTAACAGCCGGGTTACTAACTTACCAACTGTAGTGATTCACTTAACAACTAAGGCAAGGAAGGTCGTAAAACGGGGCAAAGCTCACTTAACCAATGTCTCACTTAACAAGAGAAATTTTAGGCTCAATTGTGGCTGTCCCACATCAGGGATTTTTTTTTTTTTCAAAAACCACTGGGTGTTCTTACTCAGAGGTCCTAAATTCTGTTTTCCAGTTGGTGGAGGCAGGAATGAAATAATCCCCTTTGGGGCTGTTTTCTCCCACTATGTTAATTTGCCTTTGAAATTCTACCATTTAAAACTATTAAGATCCTCCGTTGCTTATTGGAAAAGTCACATTAACCTCCAGCTGTTTGTGACAGATTTGAGAAATGGGTCTTCCATTTCCAGGGCTAATGATATATTAGCTCTGATAAAAGTTGGTAATTAAATAGAGAAACCCCCCCTTCTAGCTCTATCCCAAGTACTGGAGTATAACTTCGTCCCCAAATGGGCCCTTTGGCATCGGTTAGATTTATAAAAGGTCCTAGAACATCTGAAGATATAAATTGCTTAAGCAGAAAGAAAACCCCTTGAGTGGGTCTTCAGAATTCAGATTATTTTTTCCTTTAAACCCAGATTTATAAAGGCGGTGGTTCCCTCTCCTGCATCTCTTACAATGATAAAACACAGATTGTAAACCTTCCAAGGCAGAGATTCATCTTGTTCCCTTATCACATTTTGTAAAGCAGAGCAATCTCAGATTTGAATCAGCATCACTGAATGCAGAAATATCCACAGAGAGAGACTTGAGTCTGATTAAATTCAGGAGGAAAATAGCGAAGGCAAAAACAAATCCAGCATCTCTGGTGACTTACAGGGACACTTCAATGTCATTTTTTTTTGGCAATAATAAGAACATGTGGGGTCCTTGGTGCTCTCTAAGCTTGCCTGTTTTCTTGCAGACATTTCATTACCCATCTAGGTAGTACCATCAGTGCCAGCAGGTCATCCTCATTTAACGGCTGGTGGCTTAATTACCCTTCAAAATTATGACAGACACAACAAATGTTACAGGTAGTCCTTGTCTTACAACCTCAATGGAGCCCAAAATTTCTGTTGCTAATTGAGACATTTGTGAAATGAATTTTTCCCCATTTTACGACCTCTCTTGCCACGGTTGTTAAGTGAATCACTGCATTTGGTAGTAATACAGTTGTTAAGTGAATCTGGCATCCCCATTGACTTTACTCGTCAGAAAGTTGGAATAGGTGATCACGTGACCCCGGGGACACTGCAACCGTCATAACTATGAGCCAGTTGCCAAGCATCTGAATTTTGATCATATGACCATGGGGATGCTGCAACAGTGGTAAGCGTGAAAAACGGTCATAAGTTACTTTTTACAATGCCGTTGAACGGTCACTAAATGAACTGTTGTAAGTCATGGACTATCTTTGCTTACGTCTCATCCTCGAAGTGGTCATGTGATCGCATTTCAGGTGCTGGGTAACCCAGCTTGCCTTTATGACCAGTGGCGGCATCCTGAAGTCATGTGACCACAATTTTGTTGCTGTTTTCTGTCAGAAGATGACAAAAAACACTCATTAGATATACTGGATTCACTTAACAACCATGTGATTTGTTTAACGACTGCAGTGACTCACTGTAAAAACAATCACATGGTGACACACTTAATGACCTCAATGACTTAACAACCACAGTCCAGGCTCAATTGTGCTTGTAAGCCGAGGACTACCTGTAGGGCAGGGGTAGGCAACCTTGGCTCTTTTATGACGCGTGGACTTCAACTCCCAGAATTCCTGAGCCAGCATGGCTCAGCATGGAAACCTCTCCTTTTTCCCTCAGCATGGCTGGCTCAGGAATTCTGGGAGTTGAGGTCCACGAGTCATAAAAGAGCCAAGGTTGCCTACCCCTGCTGTAGGGGGTCTTTGACAACTCGCCACAGCCAACTTGCTACAAACAACTCACCACGGACAACTCGCCATGGCCAACTCTTGCAGGACAAGAATTACACTAATAGTGGAAAGGAATCATTAAACAAAGGATGCCCAAGGAGGGACAAAATGAAATGTGAACGACAAAAATTAAAGTAATTTTTTATTTTATTTTTTTGTAAAAATATTTTATTAATTTTTTCTATACAATTCAATAGTACTTATTCAACAACGTGTTGTCTGAGTTTATCATTCACTAATACAAATTTAATTCCTAATCCTTTATTCTCTTCTCCAGCCATTGATAAAACAAGTCCCAAGTCTGATAGTATTCTGTTTCTTCTTTTTATTTATTTATTATTTATTTATTAATTTAATTTATATACCGCCCTTCTCCCGGAGGACTCAGGGCGGTGCACAGCATATTAAAACAAATAACAATAAAATACCAGAATAAAAACCCCTCTAAAACCAAATTAAAAGCCAAATATTAGTAGCTGTGTAATAATTAAAATTATATTAAAATCATCCCTAACTAAAATCCACCCTAGGTCAG